CGCCGCTCGTTGAAAAATATGTCTCCCCTATTTTCCCGTGGTTGGGACAAAGACTGTTTGTCTGTTTAAAGGACTTTAGTTGACTAAATCTTGAGATTTATAACGGGTCCTCGAGCTAGCCGAACATGTACTGCGGAGACGCATCGACATCTGGCAATCATCTTACTCGAAGAATAGGGTCTGCGTGTGGCGAGGACACGGAACAGAAACCGTTGGAATGTTTACTGTCGCGTGTCGCCACGAATATTTCTTTTAAGGAGAGCTATAGAATTACTCCATACCTTTGTTAGACAAAGCGTTCATCCCGTGACCGCGGCTACGTTCGACGACTGACTGTCGCCTCGAGCCCAAGCTCACTATCACAACTCTCGAACAATTACAATCGGATTGAATAACTACATTCGTTCAATTACAGACTCCGGTGTTCTTTCATCTCCGACAAATAATTAAATAATTTTGATAGAAAGAGAAACTTACCGATACATCGTGCCTTCCGAAGGTCGAGTTCTCCAAAAGTTATGGCCGTGGTAGGATCCAGAGATTTCGTGTAAATTAACGTTCGTTGATACAGGAGAACCCAAGCTGGAAACCACGTGCCTGTTACGCCTTCCTAGAATATATATCAACTAATGTTTTTTAATATGTAATTCACTTGATGATAACATAACAAAAGTAATATAAACATGTGATTCTAAAATAAAATTATTACAGTAATATGTATTATTACTGACTACGAGACAGTCATTATTATTTTACAAATGGATGTTCGATCATTAGAAATCGGTTTTCTCCAAAGACAATCATAATCAATACAAGATGAACGAAAGTACTTGTACAAATATATTACCTTCTCCATATACATAAAAAAGAAAGATGAAATAAACTCTCTAAGATATCCGACATTAAATATCATGCTGCTCTTTTAACGTTTATTATAAATATTCGAGAATTATAAATTTAAAAAAATGCATTAGAAATTAAATCTCACAAATCTTCTTCAATTACTACCATACCTATCTCTATCTACTAACAATCTACTAACTATTTATAAATTAAATAAAATCTCCTGAATTCAAAGTTGGTTGATCTACATTTTCCATTTTTTATACCTTCAAATAGGCCCATCCTACTCTCGTCAATTCAGCCGTGTACTTCGTGGGAAAAACCGTAGTAATAGCCTCTAGTATTCTTTGAGCCCAAATCCTTCGTTCCGTGGTACCCTTCGCGTAGAACACGTGAACGCTCGGTCTTCCCTCAACGCTAATTGCTATGCAATGTACAGTCTCTCCATCAACTATCCTGAACATTTTAAATTGCCTTTGTTATTCCTCGGTCGGTTCGCTGTTTAACCTTGCTATATGTAAATTTGTACTTCTTTCTCATATTTTCCTTTTTCGCTGAGACTTTCCTTCAACTTTTCCTCAAGTACAGATATTTTCATCACGTATTTTGCTACGGGTTCTTATGCATTTATAGAAAATTTGAAAGCGCAAGATTCCACAGAGTACACATAATATGAAAAAACATATGAAATACGCAAAGTGTAGCATTTTCTATAATATATGATGTGAAGTGAAACAATTTTCTACCGATGCTCCATCTTTTTAACTACATTTCCAGTAATATGAATTTGCATAAAAGTCCGCAGTTTAAATATTATGCATCATACAGATATAAGATCGCGATTGCAACTTCTACATAACAAATGGCCTGCGGATATTTCTGCAGATTCGCGTTTCTGCTAACGCAAATAAAGAAACGAAAAACATAAGCAGAGACCTCCTGAATATTATAACGAATAATTCTACTTTAGTATGAAATCTGTCCGGCGGGGTAGCCAGCTACGCTCGTTAAAGCCCAGAATTGGAGACGACGCGTCGCGAGTTCTCGAATCCTCGGCATAGAACTGGTATTATTCGCAAAAGGAAAATGCAAAATTTCTCTTAGAAGTGGAGATATACAACAGGCAAGCGGCCAGCCCCTCCCTTGCGTGTGTTGTGGGTGTACTTTCCGGGAGTGCTTGGTGTTAAGCACCCAGGAGCTCGACGATCACTCGCACTGGTCTACCGTCCCGTCCGTGGAGGTTTTAGCCGGTAAGAATCCGGCACTACCTTCTGCCGCCTCCACAGGGTGGGCAAGGTGTCTATGAAGATTTCCTCCACGTAAAAAAAAAAAGTATGAAATCTATCCAATACAAAAAGTTAGGGAGTAACTTACTTATTCCATTTCCTTATAAATATTATATCTTTCGTTAAAAAATTCATATACACGTATTCTTTAAACAAACAAATTTTCTGTATCTTGGAACTTCTCAGAAATGCATAAGAATCCGCAGTCTAATAATAAACATACTTAAATCAATCAAATTTTCTCATCAAATATACACACGTATTCTTGATCTTCAGAATTTAATGACGCTACTTCATGTATCTTCGTCTGGCGAATTCTTCTCTTTCATAATGTGTTATTATTCGGAGAAGCATTCTTTTATGCAACGAAAAAGCGGACTCACTTAAAGTCCTGGAGAAGATGAATGCTGTACACTGTGTCGAGGTGAACGATCTCCTTCAGAGTAGACATGCCCTTATCTGTGTAGAAAGAGAGCTTCTGGTCGGCTAAGATCGCTGCCCTTTGCACCAGGTCCTTCGCTCTTTCTATTCCTACACCGGTCCTGTAAACGATTCCACGGTGCGTCGTCACATTTAGCAGATCGTTCACCCTTGGTCTCTCCAATTTCGTCGATTTCGTGCTTGGCACAACGCCACTGTGGTCACGACTTCTGGACAGCAATTTACTGCCGCTCTTCACGAAACTCATCACGTTCGGTCTGATCCCGTGCCCCGTGGACTCATGCCGCAATTTTTTCAATTTCTGGATCACGCCCACGCGTCTGTGCTCCTCCGTGGCCTTACCGCCCGAAGGACACGAAGATTCGTCAGCGGCCGTCGTCGTCGTCGTCGTCGTTGTCGTTGTCGTGCTGCTCGTCGTACTCGTGACTGGTGCATGTAAGTACGTATATAATTATTCTTCATTGAGATATATAAAATATATTTACTATAAAAGCGTTAATTTTCGAGTCACAGATTTAACGAATTGTTTCGTTATTTTCTAAATGGATATTAATACTAAATATTAACTAATACTAAATGGTAAATTTTACTTATGTATAATAAGTTATTGTGTTTCACGTATAATATAGACTACGTAGACTGTAGATGTTTATGCATTTATCGCATTTAAAGACATTTAAAACTGCAAGTATACACGCAATATACAAAATACGATATATTGATATACAAAAATGTATAAAATTTCGAAATATTCTTGAATAAGTGAAACAAATCTCTGTTTAGGTTTCATTCCTTTAACTGTCGCCACAGAAGTATGAAATTGCATAAACGTTCGCAGTCTATTAATAAGATACGGTGTGTCACAGAAGTATTCGTACTCGTAATTATCGAATTCAAATGATCAATATTCTCTAACGATATACAGATTGCAATGTTTAACAATAGGAATACGTAGTGTAATAATTAAATTCTTCATTGGTATGTCGTTTATTAAAAGCTAATCGTCTATCATACTATAAATGGCAGTTTAAACAAATTATCAAATTCAATAATTGCGAGGATACGAATACTATTTTATATTATTATAAAAAGATAGTCAACAACTTGAGAAATTTTGGACAAGTATGAGCTTAAAAGTAAAACGTTTTCTTTACCATATGCTTCATATGAAATTAAACAAGCACTTGCCTACACCTTTTTTTAAACACTAGGAATAAAGACACGGAAGTGAACAAAATTAACGAGATGCTCATTACCATACAATTTTATCCTCCTGACCCGATATACTTATATATACTGTATATATCGGTGTATTTTACAATACCATAGAATAGCCATAGAATAGCTCATAGTCGAGTCATTAGTATTTCGTATTAAATATTAGAAATCAGATCTTAAAATTATGATTGCTTTCAAGGCGTAGACTATTTATGTAAAAAATTATCATAATTTTGAGTTTTACAGCGGTGTAGGACAAAATGCTTCGAGTGCCGTCGAGTTAGAAGGGTTAAACTGTTAACACTAATTTAAGTTACTCTCAATTGACGATATAGTCTTTCTGTACTTCTATACATCACTGGAAGCTCAATTGCAGTCTAAAAATAGGATGCACGAAGTTCTAGGCGGGTAATTATTATAATAATCGATCAGCCAAGGCGTTAAAACGTAGCCGAGCAGTAGGATTATATAATTGTTTAAGTGTAATAAAGCATATTGGGATATTGCAATTTATCGCTATCTTGAAATTTAATACCACGCAGTACCCACATGCGAAACTGAGTTGAATCATCAGTTCTTCGTAGAAGAATTGACAAGTGTAAAATAGCGATTATACATTTTTAACGGTAATATACATTTACGCGTTTAACATTGACAGTTCTCTCCACCTACGTATTTACTTTCTCTCGTACACGTGGAAAGTGAAAAGTCGTCTCAATTATTGTCATCATTACCAAACTGATTGAAATTACATTTTTCCTTTTTCTTCAATACCGGTGTAATCTTCTTCCTAAAATTTTCAAATTTACTCCCAATTCTTTAGATAAAATCCTACCTTTCCTGCCTTTTACCTACATCGCGTACATTCCTTTTACGATTTATAACAAATCTTAATTCAATGATCTACTTAAAACTACGATATAACTAAATAAGTACCTGAACTATCGCTAGTCGTAGCAGCCACGGATTTAGCTGTCACAGAAGTAGGAGAGGATGCCTCGCTCGAGCGATTCTTCGCTGTCGATTTCCTAGGGGGAACAGCGGGTTGCTTCCGAGTCACTAGGTGCGCTAATTTCGGCAATAGAGCCGGATTTTTACCCGTAGCGCTTTTATCCGGTTCCGGAAGGATCTCTGCGACCTCGTCGTACTCGTTTTTCGGCAAGGAGTCGAATCTTTTCGGTGGTTCTGGTGGCACTGACGAGATTCGCTCGGCATCCTCTTCTTCCACGTCATCTTGTTCCTCCTCGTTATCGACTGCTTCCTGAAAGTCCAGAATACTGCCAGAACTGCTCGGCGAATCGTTGGTGGCCAATAAAGTCTCCAGTAACATTAAATCGTTATTTTCAAAGTTGCTATACACGTTTTCATCAGAAGTTCTCGCGAACGGGTCAAACTCGAACAACAAAGATTTACTACTCTGTTGTCTACTTTCTGGACTGTTCGACGTTGTTTCTTTCTCTTCTTGTGCCTTTTGCGGCGACAGATTTTCATACAGAGAATTTTGAATGGATGCTTGGCTTCCATTCGACGCGTCCGACGTTCGATCGAGCAGAGGCACTTCTTTGTCCAGGATGTCCTCCTCTGCGCTGGATATCCTGTCCAGTTCGTCGAGCCCCTCGGATTTCCCAACTGGCGCGGTGTCGTAGAACGTCCAGGAATCGGATCTGGATAATCTCTTCGCGTTATCCGATTTGTCTAACGGTAGTGTCACGTTTACGTCGGAAAGGTTCAAGCTCTGATCGGAATCACTGGCCTGTTAATAAATCATGGGAAATTTTTAATTATATTTTTCTTTGTACCTTAACGTAATTGTTTCGGCGTTTTCTTAATTACATGCAAGATCGTGGACTTTTATGTAAATTTCCTATGAACGCATAAAAATCCGCAATCTGATCCTATGATATCGTTCTGATCAGTCTTCCGTTGTCTTATTATTCTTATTCTTTGATAATGACAATGGGATAAAGAGATAAAGTAATATTTAGATATTTGTATCGATATTTGACTGATCCGGTAAATTATAACATAGAAAATGCTACGACAAAAACAACAGATGGAAAGTTACATTTGCTTGATAGAAATCAAACGTTTGAATTAGCCGAAGTAATTTTAAATATTGAACGGGCGCTAACTAAGTGACAGACTGACGGCCACGCGCTAACAATTTTATTGATAGCGGAGGGAAGAAAGTTAACGACCTCGGATCAAAAGCGTTATTCCCTTCAGTAATGTGAGAAAAAACTTTTCGAATGTATCGCGACAACTCGGACTCGCTTTTTTATTTATAAAAAAAAATCGAGAAACAAAATCCACTTTTATCCTATGTCCCTCTTTCATTCGCTTGTTTGATCGTCTGTTCTTTTCGCGCGCATAATGCTCCGAAATCTTGTTACAACGCGAATATGTTCCCTGGAGGTGTTCACAATGTGCAGTAAGAGAAAAAAAGGAAACAAAGGAAGATCAGCAAAAGCATTATTCTTGGATGCAGTTATAAAAACAATACAAATCACGCTTCTAACCCTTCAATTCCCATAGCTGGGACTATGACTCAATGCGAGAAATTTTCCTGAATTTTACTTCCAGCGACTGAACGATTTTTATTAGAAATAAAAAATGATAGATTATAAATGTTTCGATATTTAAATGCATAGTCGAAGACGATGGAATAGTAAACAGAATCGTGGATCTAGCACACACTATTATGAATCAGCACTATCTGAAATAGATAACGTAGTCGTTAAAATGAATTAGAGCCCATAAATTATTAATTTGCTTATGTCGTAGAGTAAATAACAAGTTGTACGGAAATTAAAGGGTTAAAACAATTGAAATACGTTTTTAAACGGTACGTTTACCTGATTGAGCACGAAACTAAGTAGATCAAACGATTCGGGGAAGTCCCTGTCGACTTTGTCAGAGATGGTCGAGCTGATCGTGTCGTATCGACTGCTGCCTGACGTGACGGACTGCAGTTCGTCGTAGATAGACTCGTCAGGATGTGGAGGAGGATATGCAGGAGGTGGTGGACTGTGACGCGTCCCGGAAAGATCCTCCTCATTTCTGACGCTTCTCAGATTACTGTTCAAGGGACTGTAGAACGAGATGCTGCTGAAAATATCATCAGCCGGCATCGAGACGCATCTCTCATCCTCTACAGGATCTTTGAACTTCTTATTACCACCGGTGTTATCCCTTAAAAGATCGTCCTGATTCAACGAAGTTAACCGTCTCGTTAAAAGATTCTTCACCGACTTCTCCAATCTAATACTAGCGTTCCTCGTGCTGGAAATTACCGCACGGCCCTTCATCGTCATCTTCTCCGAAATCTCGTCTTTCAGTTGTCGGGAACTACTGGTCAGATTTCGAAAAAATTCATTGTTCGTACTCCTCGATTCCGACGTGGATTTCGAGTCGTCGCTTTTCTCCGATTGACTGGAATCGCTGTGACTGCTGAATCGAGCTGTTGGCATCGAAGGTGGCAGCTTCCTCCTCGGTGCTGGTACCGGTCGTTCGGTCATCACCGATCTAGGTTTCGGTATCGGTTTCTCCTCCATCTCGTATGGATACCTTTCTGTCTCGCCGCTCGTTTTTAACCGAAGGATCCAGGAACGTAGAAGCTGCGCTACATGCTTCGGTCCCCTTATAACAGTATTTTCATATCTTTCATGCGTGTACACTTTGAAATTGATACGTTTCGGATGCTATTGTTATTGTGAAGTGCGAGCTGGTTAAATAATTTGTCATTCAAATTTTGGAATTTTCGTGAACTTCGCGGATAAAGTATTTCTTGGAATAATTGAATTTTATCAGTTTTTACGATGCAGCATATCCGACCGAATACGAGATGATATTAATGATTTTTGTACGATTCAGGTCAAGCGATTATGTGTAATAATTTTGAGGAATTCGATAAGATGGGTTTCGTTTAAAGAAATGAATATAACTCATTCGTTTTGATTTAAAAGATAAAGAACTCGATATTTCTTCGAAAAAGTAATTGTTACGAGAAATATAATTATCGTTTTAATAAATTTAATGAGACTAGTTGTGATTAAAAAGACAGAACTGAGATGTACGAGCGATTTTAAACCGTCTTATGTTATAATTGCAATGATTATTCGGATGACATCTCGTCAACCTGTGTCAAGGGACTTGATAGTATCGCGTTCAGTGCAACTTGAGACGTAAAAAAAGTCACATGCGCGCGGCGAGAGATAATAGTGCAGTGTCGGACAGTTGTAATTTGGTCTCTTTTTAATTTATTACTTTCCATATCTCACATTCGATTAATATTTCAATTGATCTAATACGAGGATTAGAACTTTTTATGGTACCATGTCAATGATAGTAAACTGATAATTAATTTTTGATACAGAATTAGAAAAAGAGAAGAAAAATTAATTGCGATTATACGTACACATGTGTAAATTATGTAATTAGAATTGTATCAAATGAATGAAAGGATGACATTAAAATTAACGAATAACAGTAAAATCGAAAACAGAATTTACAAATTTTGAAATAATCAGAAGCGCATGGTGGTTGATCGTACTACCACAAAGCAGTGAAAGTATGCTAAACTTATCGAGCAAACAGAATTCATTTCCAATCTTGCAACACACATGCGTAAGCCTGCTGGCACCTGTTCTCACGTTGCACAATTAAAATGCAATCTCAGGTAGAAATGTTCATCCATTGAAGAAACTCTTCTCCCATACACTTGGATTAAGAAGAAATGATCGATAGTTAATAAAGGATTGTTAGTGAATAAACGAAGAATATGAATAAGGTAGGTAAAAAAGATCGGGCAGTTCGAGCGATTTGTATGCTGAATCAAAGATTGAGTATATAATTGTTCAAGGCTTTGAGATAGATTACCAAGCGAATATTTGTAAAAAGTGATATATATTAATTTATCATACGTCGCAACATCCGAAGACGATTCCTCATTTTCGAGATCCCGACGAGGCGTTGAACACTGACTCGAAGAACTATCAACATTTGCTTCGTACATTCTACCAACGATAGTTACTTAGATAATAAAGACAGCTCAGCGCGAAGCACTTCTGCACGATTGAATCACCGCTTCCGAGTCACGTGATTAGCAATGAGCAGTTGGAATAAATCATGTTTTATAATTTCGATTCGTCTTGATTATCAGCTTCATGTATATCCCTTCTGGTGTCCGATAATTTTCACCTAATTAAATTTTACGTTAATTGTAATTCAAGTTAACCTGTAATTCCATCGTGTTTAAGCTATTTCTTAAATCATCTTTTCGTAGTGATTTTACTGTTCGTAGAAAGTATTTCATTCCGATAATATATTTTATAAAACGTTCGAATTAGTTAATTTGAAACGTGAAACGTTTATTCATGTGTCTTGTACGTAACGTTTATTCATGTATGTAAATCTGGAAATGAAGACACATTATTAAGGAAGTAATTTGAATGATAATCGTACGTACGGTATCATACGCTAGTACTACACATATAATTGTGGATCTTAACGTATACTTCCTTTTAATAGTTTATTAACGCTTCCAAATGCTAATCCGAATCGAACTTTCTACTTAATACCTTCGTTTATGCAATTGATATGAAAGATATAGGTTAGGATGCTGCATTTTCTCCAGTACATCTACTTCAAATTGCACGTAAATGTTATCTTATAAAAATCATTCGAAAAATTGATAAATAACAAACAAACTTAGACCAAACGATAAACCATGCGAGAGTAATACGTACAACGGCTAATAACATAAAATTTCTAATTCCCGCGAAAACGACAGTCGTTGGAAACTCTGGCGCGTTTGAATCGCCGCATCTTAGTCACGTGGTCACCGAGAACAATAAAGAAAAAAAGAACAGGGAAAACTATAAATTGACACGACTGTTCTGTAGTACTGAGTCATCGCTTCGAAATCCGATAGCGAACGCATCCAGTTTCCGGTTTTTTTGCACTAACCAACACGAACGTCACGTTTCCATGCTTTCTCAGTTCCGATCCATGGATCGTCGGGCTGGACCTAGATTCCCATGTTCCTCATTGTCGGACAAAGGAGAGCGGTTCGATGTTCCCTCTGCTCAGCCGTGAACGGAACGTGAATCATGGCAAAGTCGTGCCAACAGATCCATCAGAGTTTCTAAAATTAACCGATATCTCCGCTGCAAAATGATAAGTATTCGACGTTATTCCCTAAACGCCCGCAATTTCCTGCTGCCTAACATTAATAAGCAAGGTCTTTTCGCGCTAAAACCAGCGCTATCAAAGTCTGTAAACTTGATTCCGTGACTTCGACCAGTCTTGGAAAACATACGCGGTTAGTTTTCTGATACTCGCGCGTTCCACTTTCTCATTAAAGAAATTCTCATTGTTGACCTAACGGTATTATTGAATTAAGTCGGTAAGATTACGGATTTTAAATGTAAGACAAATATACTGGATGATTCATGCGACTGCAACAGGCAGTATCTTTTTTATGATTGAAGTTAGAAAAGATGTCAGGGAAAACAGAAAAGTGAAAGAAAAGTGATTAATTTAGGAGGTATTTCAATTTTAGTTTTGTAGAGCTTATCGTATGAAAAACATAGAAAATATAAATAGTGTGATCGTGAATATGTAGTCCAGTTTTAACCATTCTTCCTTTTCCTCCAACATTTGTTTCTAACTTCAATCACAAAAATATGGCTTGTTTCAGTTAAGTGAATCATTCTCTTTACACAAATGTTTTTCAATGTTTTTTGTTTGTCAAGAAAGGTTAGTTGAGCTACATTTTTTATTACTACATAATCGTGTAAGCTATCATTGTAACATTATTTATTATGTCGGATAATTACTGAAATTAATTTAGTGTTTTTATTTGATTGTATTAATGGCACGTGTTAGTTGTTGAACGTAATTGGTCAACAGTCCGTTAATTATCATTTATATTTGGAATATAATGGTTTCTTTTATTCAAATGTTATGTCGATAAAACATGTTCGAGATAATTTGATCTTAGTATTCATCGTATGATTCAAATGACACACAAAAATACATGCAAGGCAAACAGTCAATAATAAAGTCGCTCCAATTACTTCTATCAACCGAGTGGCATACTTGGCAACTGTTCCTTTGAAAGGCAAATATTTGCCAAAACGTCGATAGGCTTCTACGTTTAGTATGCGCGCATCTTCGTTGCTCACGTAACCATACCTGTTTATAGTTCGTATTAAAAGAATAATATCATTTGTGTTAATGATATGGCATTCCTTACTATTGTACTGTACCTATGCATCGATTTGTTTTTGTTGATCAAATCGTTCGGCTATTAAATCGGTCAACTTTTTCATTTTTGAGATTACTAAAAAAATGCAGGTACTGTTTTTATTAATATAGAAACATTATTAGGTATATTCTACTTAGTTTTGGCGTACAAATTTAATCGTAATCTGTGTCGTCTATGTATGGTACACAAATGTAGGAGATTAAGGTCGGTAAATAGTGCAATATTTTTTAAGGATATTACGAGATATTATACTTTGTCCGGATCAAACTGTGGTTTGTATTGTGTTTGAACAAAAATTAATCATTAGTCGGTATAATCTTTCACCTCTCCTAGATTTACATATTTTTAAGATATATAGGAGATGAAATTAGTTTGTGTTTTTATGTATTTCCAAAATTCGCTATTTTTTAATACCAAATAAAACTCAAAGCTTTTTGTTTGAGGTGAAAATTCAAGATAGAAGCATAATCATATACATCTAACATTCATATGTATATGCCTATTTATTCTCATTATATCTATCTGCAGTATTTACAGTATATCTATTGCAGTGCATCATATGTCATCAAATCTAGCGTCGAGTCTCATTCTAATCAGTCTCCATTTTTGCATACACAGTAAACATATCCTGATGTATCTATGCTCTTTGGATCTTCACGCAGCAAGGTTACCACGATTGTGCCGAGAAAAATCTCTATTGTTGCGGAAAGTCAGTGCCTTTGAAACGATTGTTACAGTATGTATTTTAAGCGCACCAGATTGAACTGACTTTTCTATAGCGAACCAAAGCTGCCTACTTGTTGATTCTCGAGTGTCGTCGAAACGGAGGCATCGTATATAAAGAAACAAGAGACACGTACCTTGAAACTTGTCCAAGACGGGGCCGTGAAACGATTCCTCGGTTATTCGAGTGTTTTTCGCGGATCAAAGTGCTTTTTTAATCTTGCACATAGAACACTATTTACAACACGAAGCTGTTTTATTGTCCAGCGGGGTCAGAGACCCACCTGGCCGTTAGTCGTTGCCACTGTCATCATCTCTCTCCTCGTTTCTTCTCTTTCCACTGTTGAAAAGGTGTATACACACGATATATACCTACGACACGCACACTGGCACCAAATAGTTTAGAGCTACACACAAAGCACGGAACGCCGATACACTCACGCACGAGACAACGCGCGCACAGATACCACGCACACGGACGCGAATCTCACACTTCAGGCGACCGAGCTTCTCTCCTTTCTCTTCGCATTCTTTGACATTTCCCTAGATTCGTTCGCGTCTTAATTTTCGACAAACGAAATTATCTGAGCAATGGTAAATATAAAACTCTTACTATTTACACAGTGATAAAACTATATGCGATAAGATAAAAGAAACAAAACGCGTTCACTTGCAACACGTCGCCAGTACTCGTGCGCTCGCACTAACATTCTGCTCTGAAACCTACGCGAGACTACCTATGCATCCCCACTCTCGTTACTGTCCGCTTCTGTATCCCCACTATGTCGACTCACAGCCACTATTTACACGCACGTGTATACACAACGAAACGCACGAATCTGACCGCGATATTACAAATGCATCCTCTATCGAGCCTTAATTTTACTTACAACTCTGTTATTAACGGATATTTATCCACCCAGAAGATTTGTTTTAACGTGTTCTATGTATTTATGTTTTTAGGATATTTGATAACGTCTAGAAGAATCACTTCTGCTGTTATATATGATTCATATGTATATGACCCGAAAAGATTTCATTATATGCAAGATAATGGGACCTTACGACAAAGTTGTCATTGAGTAGAGCATCGATAGAGAAATGTTAACGACCCCGGTGGTTTTGTATGGAAACCACAGGAAATTTAAAACGAAATTCACGAAAAATGGACGAATTTGTGAAGAAGCCACTTGCTCTCTGATTTCGATGATTTTGAGATATGTAGCAAAGCTCGACAACTTTCTCAACATCTTTTTCCGATATATATAAACCAAGGCCGACCTTAGTTTTCAACTTATATAGAAAAACGTCTCGCTGCTCGACCCTACTTTTCAAGCTGCACTGAGTTAGTAGTACATAATATTAATATATTAATACCGACAAGAAGATTCACATGGAGATAATTAGATAGAGAAAAATTAAATTAGTTAAAAAAAATTGCACCATAAAAGAATTCGCGTATCTAGAGCATTCTAGTACATAGTTATATAATATTGAGGAAAAACGAAGATCGCTTAAAACGTTTAGGTGTTTTTTTATAGAACTGTAAGCGATGCTCCAAAATTAGATGCTATTTTTCAGATGCTCTCCTTTTAACTATCTTTAGAGTATTCGAGGAAACAACATGTTTAACAAGCACAGAGCGTTTCTTCTACATCTGGTCCTTCATACAATTTCAAATCGTGAAAGAAATGATTTCGTCAACCAACTCTCATTCGTGTAACTCACTTGTCGGGTGGTAGATAAATACTCGATAGCGTTTTACTTTATCTTTTGCAAAAATATTGATCTTTGTTTCCTTTAAAAAGAAAAATATCTACAACCATCGAAAAAGAAGGATAATAGTAGCAATAAAAAGATCAATAACAAAATTTTGTTGCGAAAGTTCTAAAATGTATAAAAGTAAACAAATTCTTAATTTTCTAAAATTATTATTATTATTATTGTAGATATTAAATAATATATTATTGCAGATTTATTATTATTTTACTGTTATTTTGTTAATATCTTCAATATGTTAGACAAACAGCGCATGTAACATCGAGTATTCTTGTTGTGATGTTCCTTAAGATCGCCTTCGCCGGCGCCCCTCGTAGAAAAATCAAAAGGAATCAACTTGACTGATCATCCGAGCTACGAATGAGTCATACAATTGGCAGCATCATCTGGTTATTCGATAACTTTTATCGACCATAAAGCAATTGGGCATGGTTATGTATACCAAAGATAAAGGCCAGTTTTGTTCCAAGTATCGTTCATTAGCCATAATCATTCTTACGTTCATTAACCAGTCTAGAAAATTTACAATCGAAGATATTCAGTACGGTGTTTGCCATTCGTTCATCGAATCTATGTTGATTATTTGATCAGAGAGTGCAGTGTATTATAGCTAAACATTTAAATTGAACATTCCCATTTCTCGGAACGCGATACAAGATATTTCAAAGAAGATATTTCAAAGGATATATAGTTGATTATAGAATATAGTAACTGCTACGAAGAAGGCAATGCAACTTTTATTACGATCATTCTTAACCTTCTCGCTTCGAGCGCCACTTATAGACGGCATCCACGAGATGACCTGTGGGTACGAGCGCCGCATATAGGCGGCAACCACGGGACTACTCCTGAGTCCGGCACCCCATATATTCGGCATTCAAATGACGCATATACAAGTGCCATCTGTAGTCAATAATATATTTATTCGTTATCGGCAGAACATTTTCTGTTGATTTTATTGACATATTTGATTAATTACTTCTTAAAGTTACTCATCGTTGAAACAACGTCAAAACGTTTCACGCAATATATTTCAAACATCTAGACGATCGTATACTGTTTTATGCTAAAAAATCTGTTGAATCCATCGACAGTGAAGCGATATGTCATATACGGTTCTTAGAAGAATTATTGTTATTTAAGACTTAGGAAAATGTATATACAACAACCACGCACACTGTGCGTATTTCTAGCTTGCGTTACGTTTAGTGACAGTACTTCGGCGGACTAGACTGCGAAAGAGTTATTGCCCATAACTTCAACCCGATAAATGTTCTCAAGACGCGTACACAGCGCTTTGTATTTATAGAATCCTCCATGAAAATAATTTTTATACAGAGCCTGTATTTAATAATTTTGATATCATTTTTACCATCATCAACAGATAAAACTGAATTAATTCATATTCGTGTCCATATGTCCATATTGAGAAAAGCTTTATTCATTGACGATGTTATAATACTTGTTGTTGCGTATAATCGAAACTCCTGACATTAGAGACGTTTATCAACGTCGATAACAATCTTATTAAGCTATCGAATAGCTATATTCTCTGATATTTCACGGGAATTGTACGAAGCTAGCCAGCTTATACGGCTGAAAAGTTTGCGGATACTTGCTTCTTCACAGGATATAATTTAATACATCGTATAAATAATAATATGCATATAGTATCGCGTATAGAGAAATCTGCAAGAATTTCAATTCGTTACGATTAATGCAATTAGTTTTAGTAGAATATCATCGTGAGATGAAATCCATTTTTAACAGCCAACCCGCAATAACGAAATTGATGTTGTTAATTATCGAACGTTGTGAAGTTGTTCCTCGTCATTGGAAGAAAAAACCTCTTTGCTCTGCTTAATACGTGAAAAACTTGAAACTGAAGCAAGGAAAAATCTTGGAAAAATCTCGTGATTATGTATTTTTCTGCATATAACTACTTTATAAATAATTAATTACAGTATATTAATAGTAATTAGTGGAGTAATGCGTTAGTTGATAGAGAAGCATCATTATGCGTTTCGAAAACAACAGATATATCGACAATTTATTTATTGAATTGTAACAGGCTATTGTTAATTTAAATACACATAAACGAGATGATGATAAGATTTAAGACAAGTAACAAGTTACTAAGTACACAGATGTCACGTTTGAGATTATCAATTTGTCGTATGATCTATCGATAGATTAAAATTTCAGGATATACATAACATAAATACGTATCCAGCGGGGCGCATTATATTTGCACAGCCTGTGAAAGGAAAATGCAAGGAAGCTGCATAAATCTGTGACGATCGAGACTCACCAGCCATCGGTGACGAAGGAAAGACGAAACACTCAAAACGTAAATATTTTAATGAAACCTTTATTAAGACTTTATCGCGCCAAAGCCAAATAGTGACTCCGGCAATACAAACAGGTAAACGTTTGGCCCGAGAGTCCTCGAATGCGACGCACCACCGACCGACATTTTGTCTTTTCCTTCATTTTTGCCTAAAACGAGACGAGTATGCAGCGACCTCTCGCGATCGTGCATCATTAAAATTACGAACAGTTCAACGCAAATACGAATCAATCGGTGAGACTTGGATCGATACCGCACGAGAAGCTTCGTGGTTGAAGATGCGTGACAAATCGCTGAGAAATGTTCTATAGGTCAAAGAGAAAGAAACCATTTGCTCCATTGTGTGATAATATCTGCGCGAATGAAATTTCTGATGATTCTAATAATTTTTAAAGAAGAAACGAAGGAAGACAGAGTCGAACATAAATCTTAACTTCGCTGTAGTCTTTGGATCATTTTCCATTGGATTCGATCGCCTTTTCTACCGAGCAAAGGATTTCTTAAGTCGAAGGAAAATATACAGAAATCGTGCTAAGGCTTCGAATGTTCAAAGCGTTTTCGCTTCTCGGAAAGAAACAGAAATCGTGATGTAAAAATTTGAAGATCACGGCAATTTCGATATCGTAAAAAGGACATTTACGTTTTATCGTTTCGACCCATTTCACCAAGTATATAATATTTCTATTTTACTATATTTTAATCATAAAAACACAGAAATATATAAACATAGGTAAAAATGATTCGACTGCGAAATGGATCATCGATTTCGAGGAAGGTAGACAAACCAACTGTCTCGTACGAATTTTCTTTTTTTGTTTATCGATATCGCCACAAAGCATCCTGCATGCGACAGAATTTACCAAAGGACAATTACACCGGATGTCGATATCAATTGGCCAATTTATCTTAAATTATCTAAATAGTCATGAACGCCGGTTCGGTGTTGCACGTTGAGCGACCAACCACGGGTCAATTCCTCTACCTTAAATCACAATGGCGACGACAAGTTTATTCGTTTACTTTTCTCGTTAATTGTATCCTTAAGACTGATCGTTACGTACGTCTGGAGGCGCGAGTACGCGAGTAACGCGCGTGCACGGACTTCGAGATCCGTATACGTGCCGCGTGCATCGTTCGTCCATCGTGTCTCTCTCATTCACGCCGTTAAGTTATGCGGAAGATGTTCCCTCTGGCGAATATCTTTGTAAACTTAATTATAGAATTATAAAGAAGACTCTGCCTAACGAAAGGGTCAACACGATCATTACGACGTGGCTCGTGTCAATTGTCGCGGAGCGTGAAAGATTGCAAGATTTCTCGAATTAGAAAGCGCTTAAGAAACGTACAAAGAAAGATTAAAGCGTAATAATATATTATTAATTTCGTATCTTGAATATCGTTACACGCAATGTCGTTATATATTCTACGGGAAGTTGAAAATCTATAGATATTTTTCGTATTACCAGAGACTAGGGTAATCTTGACGGGAAAGAAACTAGGAAAAATCGATCGTTCAGAATCGATCTCCGATTTATTCCATCGTCGAAGATTGGGGTTAGGTCTAATT